ATGATGACGTGTAACTTCTAAAAAGCCACTGGATTTTGTGGAAAGTTGCGAAATATATGGACATGAGAAAGCTTGTGATTGGAAAGTGGTGACTTCCGGCGTCCCGGGAGGATCACTCTTGGCTTCCTACCTTTGTTCACTATTTATCAACTATCTTCTATGCGTCATTGACTCTGGCTTCTTTCTGTATGCCAATGGCAAACAAATTATCTGCAAAATTGCGTTCCCGGCTGGCAGCCTGCCGCTGCAGAATGATCTCGATCATCTGATGACGCGGTCGGTCGGGTGAAGCTGACCCTCATCCCTGTGCAGTGTAAAACATTCACGATGGCCCTTAAACCTGCTCCCGTCCAGACCAAGTATTTTATCGATAGAACTGAGCCTGAACATGTGTGCAAAATAGGGGAACTTGACGTAACGTTGGAAACCAAACTAACCTTTGCTTCACATCTCTCTGACATAGTCAGTGGGGGCAATCGGGGCAAAGAGCACTAAGTGCTCCTTGCTCCGATTGCCAACGAGCACAAAGAATACAAGCAGGGGCAATCGAGGCCTTAGTCTCCTTATTCGGCTCTTTCCAGTCGGCACCAGCAGGTCAAAATTCAACTGGAGCGCAGTGATAGCTGCGTATTTTGCGAGCGTCGATCGGTTTTAGAACATCGTCACGTGGTCTGGACAGGGGCGGCCAATGCCCGCACACGCACAGTACGGGTCCGTCACGTGGTCTGGACAGGGGCGGCCAATGCCCGCACACGCACAGTACAGGTCGATTAAATGCAGCACAAGTTTCTTGTTCAGTTACACACAATCACATTCTCCGGGCAAACAACTCCTTTCTTATGATGGTCTTTTGCTTCATTCTAAAATGTCATCTGAAGCAGCGAGAAGAGTGCAGCACAATTTACACTTGCTGAGAAACATCTTCCAAGGTAAACTGGACTCTCAAATTTTGCTACGCTGTTTCTCCTTGCTTGTGCTGCCTCGATCGACCCGCGCCCGAACTCTGTTCGCTATACCTCGCGCTCGTATGCAGACAGTGCAGAGCAGTCTGCTTTGCAGATTACCAAACGTCGAGAACGCTTTTTAGCTGGCGACACTAGCGTGGATAACTTTCAGGACAGTTTGACATTTTTAGAGTTTAAATGCTAAAGTAAGTTTTAACTCTGTAGCATCTGCACTTAGTTTTGAGATGCCATCTTTAAGTTATCTTAATATTTCTGTGTGCTGTACATTTGTTGTATTAGCTTTAAACGGCTTCGCTTGGCAGTGGAGTGCTGTTCCGTTGGCGATAAAGGTAAAAGCAAATAAAAACTTAGCCGGATGGAATTATTAGAACGACCAACGTTTGTGTGGAAAAACGAATAAACTTAACAGTTTGTCCAACTTCGAATGTAATCCAAGAGCCGACACCCTAATAAAAGAACACAGGAACCAAGCCATTTGAGAGAGCTATCCGCCGCATTTTGCACCAAAGAAGCGCTCGGTATAATAAATTAGTTACGACTTCAGAGGCCTTAGATGGGCTCACAACTGCACCTCCGGGTTGCCAGTTAATTCTGTGCATCAGAACTGCTGCCGGCCTATAAACTTACCCCAAGCGAGTCCGTCAAACTTCTAAGCCCCAGTTGGCATTTAGGTGGGACCCCAGTCAGGCAGACCACCCAAGGGAACAAAATAGATATGGATGTAGCCTAGGATGGTTTACAGAAGCAAGTGTGCGCGGTACCTTTTATCATCCGGTCTGATATATATATATATATATATATATATATATATATATATATATATATGTATGTATTATTTCAGGGGCGGTCGCAACCCGTTCCATTAACTTTCCGAAGAGACGAGCCAGGGACATGCTCCTTTTTGCCGGTTTTCTTGCAAATTGGTTAATGATCGCCTGCTTCCATCTACCCGGAAAGACGTCAGAACCTACAGAGATGTTAGAAATATTGGTGAGCGGAGCGACTTACTCGTCCGCGCACTCCATAATAATGCGGGCACCGATGTGGTCAGTCCCACAAGCCTTCTTGGGACCGACCATAGTTACCGCGGATCGCGCGGCTGCCTCAGGAACTCTCAGCTGACTCATTGACTGGACTGGGTAGCATGGCGCATCTGGCGGGTTTCGCTCACGCATATCAGCGAATTCAGAGCAAAGGTGTCATTCAACGTGGGAGCGTGAGTCATTTCATCCGACCCGACCGTCCGTTCAGAGTTATACAAGACTGGTGATATGCATTACTTCTTCGTGACACATTTCAAAAACGACCACTACCTCTTTGGGCTGGTCTAGAAGTCGTCAGTGAGTTTATGTATATATCGAGGGCACTTGGATTTGGACACGGGCTTATCATCAGCCTCCTGTCCACAAACTCAGCCACGCCCGCCGCGCCAGAGTTTTTCCGCAGATGTCGGAGAAAGTTGCCTCTTTCAACCGGAGACCAGCTCGCATCGCACCCCGTCGAAACAGGGAGGGGGGGGGGGGGGGGAGCGGAGGGTAGTCGGCGCCAGAGGATCACCGTGAGGACTAGGTCGGCGAAGGCCGACTCAAGCAGCGTGTAGAAGGTGTCCACTGCTTGGTAAACCCCGACGTCATCCAGCAGTCACCACGCGATCAGGGAGAGACTTTCGCGCAGATCGTCAAAATCAGCCCTCTTATATTTGAACGCAGTGTACCGACTGACCACAGGCTGGCTGCTTGCGGTATACTGAGAGTGGCGATGGTACCCTTGTGATCTGAGCTCAGAGGAGCGTCTTGCACATCGACCTGTAACGGTATGCGTTGGGGCAGTACGAAGTCTAGAATGTTCTCTCCTCCAGTGAGTTGGCAGACCCACTGTTTCAGGCCCAGCAAGCCGCACGTGTCGATGAATCTGGTGGCATGGTTCGACACTCTCCGCACGTCGGGAACGGCACAACCGGCCGTCGGTATTCAATATATTTCAGGGAGGTTAAAATCTCCAATGACGACGGTTGTGCAGTTCAGCGGTTGCACTGCTGACAGGGCACTAGCTATTCGGTCAATTGTAGCCTCGTCATCGGGAGGACGGTAACACACGGCCAGAGTTACCGATGCACCCTGCAGCCGGATTAGCAGCATCTCAGTGCTGGCCGGGTCCAGTAGGCGCAGCGGCAGCAGTGCCGTGCGGACGGCGTAGGCCAAGCCGCCACCTATAGACTCACGATCTCGGCGGAACCAGGTGTGTTGCGGGAATCCGACATCGAGCTTGGAGTCCAACATCCTGTCGTTCAGCCAGGTTTCCGATATTGATGCTACGTCATAGTGCTCCGCGGCCGGGGTACAGGCAGGGGCATTGGCCAGCTGCTTCTTTGGGCTGCGGACGTTTGCTTGGTATACTGTGAACGTTCCCGTTCGTTCAGCAGGCGGCGCCACCCGGCCACCGCACCGTCCCGACTCGAGTTCAGTTCGAATTCACCCGCCAGGACGAGTGGTTCGCGATACTCAGCCGTCCCATCTCGAGGGTCGCCACGGTGTTACCACCGTGCGCCACCCGCGCTCTGAGCCGGGCTGTTGTCATTTGTGCGACTCTGAGACGCGAATTACATGCGGGCAGCGACGAGACATTGGCACAACAGCAGGCTGCAGCCAGAGGCGCCAACAGCGCTACAGCACCGAATGTCTTCATGACAACTTGTCTTATAATGCATGCGATCTTTCATCTCACTTACCTCCTGTGCAGTCGTCCCGGCGTTTGATTGATCAATCATTATTTACGATCTCTGAATGAATCCTCAGTTTTTCACCTTGACATTGCGGGACACAAATTAAGGCCTTCGTCGTATGTAAAGATGCTGGGGGCTTCCACTGAAAGTACCTCTTCCTGGGAGATGCACATATCCCATGTTGCCAAAAAGTGCAACTCCATCCTTTTCTGTATGAATGAAATTAGTCCCTAACATACGCCCGGGTTTCGTAAATTTATCATCCAGTCTCATACTTTCCCCATATTCTGTGCTAACTCCCGGTCTGGGGAGGGGCTGCAGTGTGCTACCTAAGCAGAGTGCAAGGAGTGATATTTGGGGCTAGAGTTATCACCGATGCTCATCGGTGAAATTCAATGCCTTCGCTGTATTCAAGGCCCTTAATGACTTGTGGGCTCCGGCGGCGATCCGATCTCTGTCCACCCCATGTACCGTCGTCTACCAGCGTGCCACCCAAGCGGCAACGGTGGGCGCCCTTGATCTGCCAGCTCTTCGGCCGTCGGTGGCACGCAGGGCTTTTTCGTATCGCGCGGCCTCATCCTGCAGCCGCCTAACCCCGACCATCGCTTCCTCTCGCACCCACATTGAGTTTTGCAACAGGCTAGAGGTTCCGATCGTCCCGTTGTGTGATCAGTGCTTGCTTGCCATCGTGTAACATGTGTTGAAGATCTATATTTGTCATTCATTATTTTGTTTTGGACGGAGTTGTGTGAACAACTGAATGATTGGTGACGTGCAAATGTGGTCGCGAGGCTGTTACGTTTAAGTATTAAACTCATAATGCTGTTGTAATTTTACCGAATCAAATAATAATCCAATTGTTCGAATGATCCGTGAATGCAGTGAACTGAAGTGAACTGAACTAACCGGTTAAATGTGTAAGGTGTCAGAGGACAAATATGTGCCAGTCGATTAATGTTTGCGTAGTTTGCCGAGCGCCGCTTAGAGACGTTTGCGTTCCTCGTTCCTCGCGTTCCTCAAACCAGGAGCCCCGTGCGAGGGACGCGGCTGCGGGGGCCAGGACAGAGTAGCAGAGAAGACTCGGAGAGTAGCCGGCGCGAGGACGGACGCGCCGGTGGGAAGGATTGTGTGGAGTGCCTGTGACAAGTGTCAAGTACAAAAAAATGACTGAACGTACCGCGTGCACCAGTGAGCCAAAGGCGAGATACCGGAATAGCAGAACTTACAAATGTGCATCTCTATGACGTCATATATCGATCTTCGCAGATATTTCAATAGCCCAGACGGCGCTACCTGTTATACATGGCCTTGGGTCTCTCTGAAACGTGTAGCTGATGACTGCCTTCATACAGGGCAAAGCCGTATAAAGGGGTACAGATGAGTGAATTTGGAGACACGACGTTAACATTTCTCACAGTTTACTTCACATAAGCCCTCTTGTAGACGACATGATTTCGGCACTCCAGAGAGTTGCCCATGTTTGCGTGAAAAATGTCTCTTTACCACAAGGTAAGATACCGGGATGTTTGTGTGGAAGGTCAGGGCGCCGAGTGACATGCATGTGGGGAATTTGCACTTAATGGAAACCAAATGTATGACTATGGCGTGTATTTTCCTACACAATTGTATTCAGCTGTTAAGAAGGCATCACTTATGAAGCTTCATTGTGTCAAAGCAAGGCATCGCCCAAGCTCAATGAAATCTCCTTTAACTAAGGCTCAATGTTCCATCAGGGTGCGCTTTTTTCTAAACAGTATCTTCATTTTGTGTCATATTCCCATGCTTTTTGGACACCTGTTTCCAAATTTGATGGTGCCAGCCTGCTTTGGTTTTGCTTGGCATGCTGATTTGTTGAATGAGTTCTTGCTGATTTGCGGATTTTAGACCTCCCCAGTAAGCTGATCGATTGTCCAATCCATAGTTTCTGGAACAGTAATAGAAAGGCTGCAGATTTGGATATTTGTCCTACTAATTTGGTTCCAGTACTTTCCTTATTCTTGCCATGTCATAAAATGTATTTTTGTTGTGAATATTATGTTAGTTATGAATATTATGTTATAGGCTATAGTACACAGTTAAAAAATTAGCATAACCTATTATAATGGTATAATAATAACCATAACCTTGCCTATTATAATGATATTTTGTAACATCATGGCATACCATTATTATAAAACATGTGTTGATTTCAAAATGCTGTTATTCACTATAACTTTACTTTATAAACCATTGCTAGATGTTACAGGATGTGTGATGCAGAGAACATGATCACTTGCTGCCTGCCTGATAACTATGTCATTTTTGTACCAGTATCATATCATGTAATATCATAAATGCAAGTTAAACTGTAAGAAGGCAGGTACTGCACCAGGCAGTGGATGGTAATATAAATATCATCTGTGTAACAATGCATATATCACATGTCTAACTACTGCAATGATAATCAGGTAGAAATACTCTCTTCAGGAAGTGCACTTCAAGTATAATTGGGATTTGTAAGACCTGAATACTGCTCTGGCATCCAAATAGATACATGACTGACATAATGAGCAAACAGCTGATCTAAGGAAAGGACTCAAGCATGGAAAACTGAAGACAGATTTAAAGCCCAATTTAGTAAAACTATATAGGAATGCTTGTTGGTGAAGTGCACCTCATACATATGTCCAGATTGTACAATTCTGCCCCATTTTGTTAGTTTTGACCCCCATTCCCATAGCTTTAAAAGTGAGCTTATTTCATCACATCTGATGCTTGCCCCAGTATCTTGAAGTAAGGAACCTTCCATTTGAAGGGAATGTTTCTATTATGAACTATCATGAGGAACACCCCCTTCAAAGGAAATGTTCGGAAATGAGAGGAAATGAGATTTGAAGATAGTGAGGCAAGCATCAGATGTGATGAAATTAGCTCACTGTTAAGTATTGGGCTGCTTTTTAATTGTTAAAGAACATTCAAGGCATCACAATGTCACTGTTCAGTGAATGTTTTGCTCATGAACATCTTTTACATGGTGCATCATGGTATGTGCATTACATGGTATTTACACAGTACATCATGGAACGTCTTTTTGATGTCAGTTGCTGCCAGACCGGCTGCGCCAGAATTGCTACTGAAGAGGACGAACTGACACAGTTGTAGCACTTTGACTTACTGATGGGTGGCTATTTATTCCTGGGGCATGTCTGCAGAATCAAATATCGTCATGTCCTCATGTTTCGGTCCTTTGCTTGGTGTTTTTGCATACTTGTCCGTGATTTGGAATTGTTTACTAGCATTGTCATGCGCGGCCACGGGTGCTTTAAGTTATTTGATTCCCAGTTTTATTTCTGTCATAACTAGTACCACTGCCATTAACATATATTATGCGGCACAAACGTGATTCTGGTTCGAAAGTTATACTCAACGCATTGCGTTGGTTGAAGTCAGACTGAAGTTGTCTGTCAGAAATCATGCTCGCATACGCCAGACACGAATAGCTTGGTGATCATATTGGTCTTGGTCATAGGCATGCATGTCCAATGGGGTGGCGGTATTCACGTGAAGTTTTCATGGCGTCATGCATGGCTGGGTGACCTTGAAATAGTTTGCGCGAAATAGTCTGCTCACAAGTTCGCAAGCGTCAAGTCCAGTAACTAGATAGTTTGAGGTCTTAGAAAGGGCAGAGTTGCCAATATCATGAAATGATCTTCAAAATGACTATATCAGTTCAAAATGTCATACAAATGGGGAACATTTCCTGCAATGGCAGCACTTTCTATGTATTACATGGAGCTGGCCGTGTGTCTTACTACCAGAAAGTATATCGCATCAAAAGTCTTCAGATTTCACTAGCCTTGCCATTTTCTGCTACCACCTACTAGCACTGCAACATTCACTCATCCGACATCATTTTAGTCATGACGATTCAGAATTGTTGTACAAGCTGCCCGCTGTAAACTATTCACTCTATGATCAGCTACCTACAATATGCAACTTTCTGCTTATTTCGTTGAACGTAAGTTAACGATGGCTACTCATTCGAGTGTGTTATCGAGTCTGACGTCGGGGGTATTAAAGGACTACATTGTTTAAAACTCGTTGTTAAACTTAGAATTGTTCAGTTACATAGCATTGTTTAATTACATTGCTAAAACATAAATTTTCACATATCTTCTCCGAAATACTTAGCTCAGGATAGTAGCACCATGTGGAACATTTTCGTCGAGTTTCTTTAGGTGGGCATATTGACGTTTGTGTAAGAATGCTCTTCATCCTGGGTAGGCCAGAATTCTCTGGCTGCTTTCAGCTTTGCAACATTCTTTGGCAGATGGTATAGACAATTTGGATCCACCTGGATTTCGAACTTTTGAAATGTGGAACCACTACAGTGCCGGTCTGGTATGCTTACCATTATGCCACTGGGAACCAATGAATCGATCACACTTTTTGAACTGCATTTGATGTTGAATTGTTATTGGTTCCTAAGAGTGATTGTTTTTTTCGTTGCTTTCGTTTTTTTTTTTGTTCTTTGTTGTTTTTGTTTTGTTTTTTGCTGGACATATTTATGTTCGTGTGAGGATGTTTTTTAGCTACTGGAGCTTTGGTGGATCAGGATTCTCTGGCCGCTTTGCCGCTTGGCGATATTCTTCGCCAGATGTGCAGAGAACCCTGAGGATAGCATACTAGGCCGGCATTCTGAAGGTTCGCGATCCGGGTGGGCCCAACTTATCCGCGAAGATCGGACGAAAAATATCGCCAAGCTGCAAAGAAATCGGCTTGAGAATTTTGTCACAAAGGTTCTGGCATGGAGGCCCACAGCACTGTCTGTTCTCTCGGTCTGTCCGCAGTGTCCTGGGCACGGTGTCTGGCGAGCGTCGGTTGTTCGTCAAATCCGCGGCCGGACGTATCGATGCCGCCACGGCTGCCGTCCTGGCCGCTGCCGACGCTGACCTGGCCCTCGCCGCCGTCACCTGCGCTGCGTCTGCCTTCGCTGGCGCCGGCCATCCTGCCTCTACCGTTTCCGTCGCCGTCGCTGCCTCTGGCGCCACCCCCGACCAGTGGTGACGTTACGCGGCGAGAGGCGGCGCGCCTCATCGTGATCCGGCGCCGCAAGATGCGGAAGCACAAGCTGAAGAAGCTGCGGAAGCGCATGCGCTTTGTCTGGGCCAAAGTGAAGCTACGCAGGTGCTGTCGTTGAGGGGAACCGCTTGCAAATGCAGTTTTGGGCTGTGATGAATTGGGCTTCGTGGGTGTATACGAATCATATGCGATGCTGTAAGTTGCTGCTTTTTTCGTAGATTACATTTGTGCTTTGGAAAGAAGTAGTGCAAGTCTTGGCATTTGCGTTCACGAACTGCTTGCTCACCGGTTCCGACAAACACCTCTCCTACCGCCAAAACAAGCTGGCTGGGACTTCAGCTTATCTTGTGTATAGGGGTTTGTTGGCGCGTCGACTCCTGTGGTCATTTGACGTCCAGGGCTTTACATTATCGACGTAGCTATTGACCGCTAGATGCACGTGTGAAAATGGCCAAAGTGGTTCGTTTTTCGTATCTAATATCTCAACATTGAGCGGGGAGAGTAAACGATTTGCAGAAGTGGTCTTTTGATTGGAATCGTGCCTTAGGTGGAACTGTTCCATATTCCTTTGAAACATTCCCCTTTACGGAAAACAGAATATCGTGCGCAATCAATCTTTCTCTGACAGCTGTTTGAAATATGGGTCAAAGTGCACTATCCTGTATTTTCGGTTTTCTAGGTGCCAGCTGCTCGTAGTATCGTGCACTTAGGCGAACCTGGTGCTAAACGGCACAGGAACTCGGGCCTGCTTCTACCCTAACAGCGTAACCCATCCTACCCCACTCGTCCCACCCGTCCCACTTACGTCCCACTCGTGTAGCTCCAGATGTGTCTTCTGTCCACCAGCCTCGCGGATCACATCTGTCTCCAACGCGCGAAGCCGACGATGGCTGCCTCCCACGCGTCATGCCGACAGACCCGTCTCTTACTCTTGACGTCATCTTATCCGCCTCTGTCACCAGATCGATCCGGCGGGAGAAGGCTTTTCAGTCAGAACAGATGGGCATGATTGCGGTGGCGAAACAGTTCGACGCGCGTCAGTATGTTGACGAAGTCATCGAGAAGAGTTCTACGCTGCCCATGGCGACTGTGCGCCACGGCAAGAGGCTGCCGTACTTCATCCGGCTGCAGTTGGAGGGTGACAACATCCTCAAGCCCCTCAAGTAGCTGATGAAGTCCATCTCCAGCGTGGGGGTGGTAGAAGTGTGTGGTTTTGTTACAAATATACTTGCGGTGGGACATGTCTGTTGGGCGTGCTACAGTTCTGGCAGCTTGCTGAGAGTATCATCCGCTGAGGTGATCCGTGCGCTACATCGCGGGTTAGACCGACACGGACTGCCCGACGGACGTGAGGTGGATGCGGCTACATTGTACCGGCTCGAGGCAACTTGGCCTCAGACTATATTAACAAACGCGATCCGAGAGGTGCGGCGAACATCCCCCCCCCCCCCTCCCCCTCTCACTCTTTCCTTCCTTACATCTCTAGAACCGCAGGCCAAGTAACAAAACTCCCAGGGAAGGTGGGAATAATGGGACTATGTTTTGTGAGTGGATCATGGCCCCAGGCATGAACGTTTCCGCTTCTGGACTTGTCCCACGAAATTGGCCGAAGTACGCGCTGTGCCTCGGATCGGCAAGCCTGGTTTTCGAAATTCATCGCCGTTCACTCGGCCACTAAGAAGATATCGACGCGACTCCTAGCGGGTCGCGCGTTTATATCGCGGACAAGGTATCTAGCGCAATGGTTTCCATTGGTCTTGGCGGGGTCCTGAAATAATTACGTTGGATGCTGCATTGTATATGCTAATCCTGCTTGATAGCACGGCAAATTGTAACTTTCAGCTCGCACGCAAGGGCGAAACCTGGAATCATAGATGAGATCAGTTTGCATTCTAGGTAGTTGTTCGCCTCTACAATGGACTTGATTAAAAAAAAAACGGGACTGTCGCTGTCGGGGAGCCATTAATATGTGATAAACGTAAAATCCGGGCTCAAGAAAGCGTAGGATATATATATATATATATATATATATATATATATATATATATATATGCATGATCTGGGCCTAAGGATGTATACATTTAGCCCAAGGGCATACAATGTTGATTTGCCCAGGCCCCCCAAACCCCACCCCTGGCTGTGCCCCTGCTCAGGAATCAATTTAAGGGACGAAGTCCAATTTAAGGGACAAAGCAATGTTGACCAAAGCTCATCATACAGTGACGCAAGGTTTAGACCTGCTGCTGCGCTGCCAGGGTGGAATGTGCCCATCATGATTAGGGGTCACATTGGAAACCGTCAGTTCAGCAAAATGGTGTATTTGGACATTGGTGTGCCTGAGGGCGGGGGCATCTGACTTGAGCCCCCAGCGCTTCTCTGAACCCCTCAATGCATATGAGCAAAGAGGGGATGCTGGGACAAGTAAACGTAGAGCAATTATCTTAGCCTTTGGCACGCTAGGTAGTAGCAACCTAAACACATCATAAGTATCGGGTTAAATTTGCATCAAATGGTATCCTGCAGAGCACTAATGTTTTTGTCATGCTATCTCGTTCATGTTTGAAGGTATGGTCTACACATGTTTGACAAGTTTATTTAATGATAATGCCTGCATTGGGATAAGGAACAATTGACTGCAATGTGCGCTAGATTTAAAAGCACAGGGTAGCTTAGACAAAACAAAACGCATGTCATCCCAATGTATTTGTCTCGTGATCGGTGCTATGGTGGCTATACAACACGATCACCGACAGCGGTAGTTATCAGCGATTCCTTACTAATGTCTTTTTTAGGTGCTTTTTCCGTAAATTACACCCTATTCTAATGCTTTTGTGGCGCGAGGCGTGTCAATCCGCCGCGGGGCACACGCTGTTTTTTTCAATGCGCGAATACGGTTTTTGTTTGTTACGTTTGGCTCGAGTGCTCCTCCGGACGTGCGCACCAGGACGAATCAATAGGGCGCGGCCCTTTGAAAACACTGACTTCGGCGGAGAAGGGGACGAGTGCAGAAGAACGTTCCGCAGTGAGAGGGAAGTTGACACGGAGTGATGGGAGACCATGTCGGCCTGGCGCGCCGACGGCCGAGCGCTCGGCGCCTTCCATTCACCTGCCAAAGTGTAATCCCGGCGGAGGAATCTCCGACCCTTCGGCGATTCTGAGATCACCGGCCCTTTTTTCTTTCTTTTTAGATAATTAAGAATGAGCGTTCTGCAGGTCTTTTTGAGATTACGTGCTCGCGCCTAAATTCTGACCTGTTGTATGTCGTGCTCCTCTTTTAGTGCTCAGACCACATCGCGGTAATTAGCATGTCAAGTATATAAATCTGTCGCTAATGTGTGCTGTTATATGACGTGCTGACCCATGCCCGGTATTTCTCTACGTATTTCAACGAACAACCTGTAGGAAAATAGCAGATCAATGAAAAATGTGCGGCCAGAATTCTGTGCCAGGAGATATAACGCACCGCGATCAGGTCCACCTCAAATATCAAATTAACGATCCTGTATAGTTCACATACTGCGTGCAGCTTGGGCCGACTGTGAGTTTGATACGAGTGTTATGAATGGGTCTGTATCACAACGGGCTAAATGCGTCACTTGCTTTACGGCATGAATCCTCAGAGCCGATGAGGGATTCCGGCACGCCGAGGTGTGATTCCGGCGACTGAGGATAGTAAGCCGAGGAGGATTCCGGCGTGCCGATGAGGGATTTCGGCATTATTTTGTGACGAGAGAAGTTGACGTATGCGGCCATGTGAACACGAAGGCATCTTTTTCGTAAAAGCCCACGTAATGTAGGTGCGCCAATGTTTCGCACCCACTTGCAGTCACCCCCGTTAGTCGGCTTATGACAGGGAATTGCTTCTATGGTGGCTATCTGCAGATCAGTACTGTGGGCCAATTAACTAACAACCGTCATTAAGAAATTGCCCGTAGGTATATTTCTACAAAGGAGCCTTCTTATTTCATGAAGTTCATTATTCGTGAGTGCAACCACTATCTCTAGAAAGACATTCATAACATTATTCATTACACAACGTCATGTGCGAGCACGTAACTTCAAAACCTTACAGCATATTCATACAACTTGAGTCAGTCACGGCGCTTGTTGCTTTTATGCAAGCTGGGCTTTGGGAATCGCGTGATTGCCGTATGGTGTCAGTGAGAAATCCGTCGGGCGAGCATGCCAATAAATATTGCGGTAAAAAATGAAGAGCCAGTGCTCCTAGGCACGCCGACAGCAAAAATCGGGTCGAAGGAAACGATGATGATATAGCTTGATCTGTGTGAGACATCGACTCACTTTCAAAATTCTCACCAGCCTATGCGCAGGCCATATTTTGGCATCTGTCCTGTGGAGACAGATGCCTTCTCAATGATCCAAAATGCCCACCCGCTGGTGGAACTTCAGCTCCCCAGGAAAGACAACGTTAAAATGAACGAATAATCTTGGGATATGGGCAGCCTTTTGTCTCGAATGACATAGATGAGTCAGATAGGCAAGAGAATGCACCAGTGAGAAACAACTCTAGATGCATATCTAGAGCAGCAGCTATTCAATTTGAAAAAGAGCGATAACCTCCATCTCTACGCCCCTCCCCCACCCTGTCATCGGGCTTGTTTCCAGAAAAAGTCCCTGAAGTACGCCCTGAGCTCGCCCCCCCCCCTCACTTTTTGAAACGTTCCTACGCCTAGGACTGAAATCAACATCTTGGAAGACCTTTCGGTGCTGTTCCCAATGCTACCCTTTTTAAGGCCTAAGCCCCTCTAGTTGCTGAGCTACATGCCTGCAAAAATGGGGAAAGGTTTTTTGGGGAGGGTATTTCAAAGTCAACTTGGCATTCATGACGTCATAACAACGTCATTCAAATTTTGTCATTCCATAAACCATGTGTCGATCAAGGCCAAAAAAAAAATTGTCGAGTCGCTCATAGAGATCAGCAACCACAATGAGTGCTGAAGTCGTCGACGAACACTCCAGCCGCTACGGTGGTCGTGGATGGCGGGCGGCGGCTGTTCGGCGGTCACCGCCTGTGAACGGTTGGCTGAAGGCCTGCCGGCGCTGGCATCGGACGGCCCAAGCTCACTGGCGCGGGTGTAGGGCGACAGGGCGACCAGCTGATCTATCGGCGGTCCAGGCGGCGGGTGATTAACAGATCGCCGGCACAGGCTGTAGGCAGCTGACAGCTCACCGGCGCGGGCTGTAGGCAGCCGACAGCTCACAGGCGCAGGCTGTAGGCGGCTGACAGCTCACCGGCGCGGGCGGTAGGCAGCAGACAGCTCACTGGCGCTGATGGCGGGCGGCTGACAGCTGGCCGATGCGGGCGGTGGGCGGCCGATGGTGCTGCAGCGTCGGTGCAGCCTTGCAGCCCTTTTTAAGCCGATGCAACAGCAGCGTAGGTCATCAGCAGGTCAGCAGGTCACCATCATCCTGACGGCTGCGCCATGTTGTGCCCTCGAGAGACAGCAGTCGAGCGGAGGTGTATTCACACAGAGTCGACGAGGCCGCCTTTGCCCTTCCTGTTAGGAACACACGCATCATGACCTCGCTCACCGCTCGCCAGCCAAAAGGAGAATTTTACAGGGCCCTGGTACCCCTAGCGCGGTCGGTGGACCGGCGCCTCAGGCAACGGGCCGCACGGCGCCCAGCAGGGGCCCGGCGGCTGCTGGTGCATCCCGACAGGTCAGCCGGACAGCAACACGTCATCTACTACTGTGATAGCCTCTTTGCTTTTGTGCTTTTACCAATATCTCAGTATTTACCTTATGCCATGTCACGTGAGTGGCATTACAAGATGAATATCGTGTACAAGTTGTTTGTTCGTTTGTTTAATCATTCACTGTGGAGGTTAATTCTCCACGGAGTCCACCCTTTGTGCCAGGGTGATAGCTAGGCATCGCCATATAGCCTCAGTGACGTCGTTAGGCCCCAATGACGCACAACACTCGCTGTGAGGCTAGTGACTTAAACAATGCAACTTTTTGCCGGTTTCTATATGCGTGGCTTCTTTGTACGCAATTTAACGGTGTCTAGTCAGTCGAGTCGTATTTGGTCTAAATTCGGTGATATTTTGCGGCAAACTTAAGCTTGTTGTGCCATATCTACTCCGAAACCTTTATGAGGGATCAAACAAGGAGCGTATACTGTATGCATATTGACCTATGCTCAGCTTCCTTGTGTCCACCTATAAACTCCACGTACATACATGTCTGCTTTTGTCCAGCTCCTCCATTCGCCTACCTGCGAGATCAGTGCTCCGCGATGTCTAATGCAAAGACGCGTCTGAATTTCACATTCATTCTCAATTGCCTAAAACTGGGGGAAAGCTTGCACCTCATTTCACCAGCACAGCATCAAAAGCTTTTGTACCAAATAGTTCAGTAATTGTATTTTGCAAACATTAAAGACACATACAAAAACAAACTTGTAGGTCCTGTTTTGGTGTCCTAATTTTATTGAGGTCCTGCTTCCACATTTTGAAGGCCCAGACCATTGTAGAGATGTGGTGGGGGTGGGCAGCCCAATATTATGGGGCTCGGTCCAACATTCAGTTTCACTCCTGCAGACAACCATTATGTCGACGATACTGTCCAAAAGAGCAGCTGGAGCAAGACTTCTTTGTCAGCGAGGCGCTTGGAGTGGTGGTTGTTGTCGTTTGGTGCTCGTCCTTTCAATATTACATGGCCTTGGCACATGGGGCTTGCATGTGGACCTGCATGCCAGTATACTGCCTGTACAGCCTTGCAAGAAGGCATGAGTTTGAGACGGCATTCCTGTAGTATGTACAGTCAAATGCGCATATGTGCCTGGTTAGCCAAAAATAAATGAATAAATAGATAAATAAATAAAATAAGGGCCAGCTTGTGTGAGGTTGTTTTTATTCAGTTTCTCCAGATGCGATGAGCCAGAGTTGCCTGGTCGCTGTGCAACTTTGCAATGTTGTCCGTCGGATGGTGCAAGGATAGAAACAACTTCGCACGAAAATTTGTGTAGAGTGGAACTGATTAAACTTTACTTGCAGTGAGCACTGCTCGTTGACCAAAGAAGGTAAAACAACCTAATATCTTCTGGGCTTGGCTTTCCCTTATGCGCGTTCCACCGGGCTCCGATCCTAGGCCTCGGGACAGACAAGGGCCGTTTGCCGTGCTTGCTGAGCCTGCTATCGTCCTGCACATCACATGCCGCGTCACAGATTTGGGCCGTTTGCCGTGCCTGCTGAGCCTGCTGTCGTCCTGCGCATCACATGCCGTGCCACAAACTGAGGCCGTTTGCCGTGCTTGTTGTTCTGCCGCCGTCCAGCACATCACATGCCGCGCCACAAACTGAGGCCGTTTGCCGTGCTTGTTGTTCTGCCGCCGTCCAGCACATCACATGCCGCGCCACAGATTGGGGCCGTTTGCCGTGCTTGTTGTGCTGCTGCCGTCCTGCACATCATATGCTGCACCACAGATTGGGGCCGTGGTGCCCCCCACCCCCCCCCAGGTCAGTGGAGGGGGGGGGGGGCTGTTGGCCCAGCGCTGTGTGGCCCGGCCTGACTTCGGCCGGCCCGGCACGGTGGTTTGTGTGCTGTTAATGTGTTCGTGGAGCACATCAACAAACCGTGTGGGCTGAGGTGTTCCCCGGTGTTTTGCGTGTTGCCTTTGCAACCGTGACTAATCTTCGCCGCTTGGTTCCGTGGGGTTGTGCGGTTATGTTGTTATTATGAACCTGAATGATCTTGAATGTACTGCGCAGTCTATTTTGGTCTTGTTTTATCCACGCGTGCAGACAGTCGATTATTTTGAATGTGTTGTGGTAGAAACGGGGCGGTTGTTCATGCTATTCAAATGCTTTTGTTTTTACTGTTTTAGCCACGCCGCTGTTTCATTTCCTCCGCAGGACATAGTTCGTGCGATCTGCGAATGCGACTTCCAGTACATCGTTCAGACGGAGAGGATGGATGAGGAGGTGCCGTGCGTGGCCAGGATGCTGGGCCTGAAAGAGGAAGCGAGAGCGCCTATCACTGTTCGGAATACCCGGCGCCATCACTACGACACCAAACAGATGGTGAAACAGATTAGTGACGAACAACTCGAAAACTTGCTCTTTGTTTATCGAATGGACATCATTCTTTTCAGTTGGTAATAGCAGTGATATGGCTCAAGGATGTTACTATCGTCGATGGTTCAGCGGCCAGGATGCTGAGCTTGGAAGGGGAGGCAAGAGCGCTCATCATGGTTCAGAGCACCCGGCACTTCGTTGCCACACCAAACAGACAATTTTGCTCTGGGGTTTATCGTATTTGTATCATTTCCTTCAGTGGGTAGCAGTCAGCTGACTCAGGGATGAATGACGAGTGTCGTGGTCCAGCGGGGTGGCGAAAACTTGCCCTCGGTTTATCGTGTGGACATAGTCCTCTTCAGTGGGTGGCAGTGAACTGACTCAGGGGCATTATTAGTGTCGTGGTTCAGCGGGGTGGCGAAAACTTGCCATCGGTTTATCGTGTGGACATAGTCCTCTTCAGTGGGTGGCAGTGAACTGACTCAGGGGCATTGCTAGTGTCATGGTTCAGCGGGGTGGCGAAAACTTGCCCTCGGTTTATCGTGTGGACATAGTCCTCTAAGTGGGTGGCGGTGAACTGACTCAGGGGTATTACTTGCGTCGTGGTTGAGCAGTGTCACTGTAATTGGATCGAGCAAAGGGGTTTGAATCACGATCATTTTGAATTGAACATTGGTCGATGATTCGACTATGGCAGGGACTGATTGATGGGGGATGATTGATGATTCGACTAGGCAGGGATCTCTGTTCCAATGCCAGCGATCTGTTGGCTACTGCCCGCCTGTGGAGGTAGGGCCTCTGTTGCAGCGCCAGCGGTCTGTTGGCTACTGCCCGCCTGTGGAGGTAGGGCCTCTGTTGCAGCGCCAGCGGTCTGTTGGCTACTGCCCGCCTGTGGAGGCAGGATGGTTTGTTGGCTACTGCCTGCCTGCGGAGGCAGGTGTGTCAGTTGCAATGTCAGCGATCTGCTGGCTACTGCCCACCTGTGGAGGCAGGGGTCTTCGTTGCAATGTCAGTGGTCGATCACCTGTTTATGTATGCATCTCCCTGTGCCGGTCGAGTAATTTCTGGAAATATACGGCGGCGTTTTGTGACGTGTTCACCTTTCCCACTGCGCTTTATCAGCGCCTCAGGGGTTTCGCGCGACGACGCCCCGGCGGCGGACTAGGGGACAGCCGGGCCTGGACAATATGGCGACAGCACGTGTGTCGAACGCCACAGGTCGCGGTCGTCGCCCGCGGCGGCAGTACGCCGGTTATGGGTGGGCAGTAGGATCGAGTGCGGTTTACCGGGCGCGGGTCGTGAGACGCGCGTCCGAACTGGTCATCCGATCCAGTAAACCGGACTGGTGTATGTGTCATTGGGGCTTTACGACGCGCTCAACTGCTGAGGCTATATGGCGTCGCCTGCCTCTCACCCACCTCTCATCTCACCCAAGCTCTCACCGACGAGGAAGGGCGGGCACCGCGGGGAATCGAACCTCGCACCTCTGGTTTCCCAGATGTGTAGTTAACGCAGACGCGTTAACCACTGCACTACCGTCATGTTTATCTCAGTCCAAGCTATGAACAAGCTGAGCTGCTAGACGCCTCAGGCCACACCCAAGTGACGACGAACGCCCCAGGTTGCCGCTCGGCCGTACAACTCCCGATGGATTGGCAGAAGAAGCGATCTAGGGAACTGCTGGAGTCCCCGTGAGGGGGTCGCTTGGCTGGCGTGCTGCGGTGGCGCACGGTACATGCCGCGTTTTTCTCTAGCGTATCGCACCTTCGAGGCGGACACCCAGTGGCCCGGCCCGTGTCTCCGCTCACGCAACCGCGGCCGGCCGCCCCCGACAGCCGGCAAACAACGCCTGAAAGACACACCATGTATTTCAGTCAATAAATACGAATAAATAGCTCCGAGGGCGACGCCACCACCCACGCCAGCCCCAGCCCGGCAAAACGGAACGGACCACCAACCACACACATTAACGGCACACCTCGAAACGACACGGGACGCCTGCGAAGCTAGCTAACGCGACCACCGTCCCGGCCGCCTGAATAACGCCGCCAGCCGCTCGCGAGCTACCCTCGCACTCTGCGGCGCGGAATGCATTGCACTTTGCGAGGCAAGGCGCGGGTGCCACGCGGCTCACCAGGCGACGCCTGGGGAGCAGATCCCCCGCTGAACCTAGATGAGACTTGGACACGCAACACGCGTCGTACATAGTACGCATCTGGTCGAGTCCAGTAAACGCGGACGACCAAAACCGACGGGCGTTTGGACCGAGTCGTGGGTTCTTTCCCAGCACGGCTTCTGCGGACCTCGCCTGTCTTCTGAATGCAGGAACTCAAACTGCGCGATGAGTCCGGCGCACTGGATTTCGACGACATGGACGAGGACAAATCTAGCTTTCATGCGCTGGGCAATGTGCTCGTCCTCCGCGCAATTTATCGTTTTCGACTTGCATCGTATCACCAAAGGTTTGCGGCGCCCTGGGCCCAGCGACCAGGGCGATGATAAAGCACGTTGACAGCAGCCGCACAGGGTATGTATGGCGAGGTCTTGCCACATGCAGGCAACGGAATGATTCAAGTAGCTATCACAAATCGTTACGGGCCGGCGTAAAGAACAGGTTTGTATGAAGAACGGCATGCAAATTTAAAAACTAATTTTAGCTTGAATTATATCGGATCGGCATCTTTGCGATTGGCCGCACCAAGACCGTCCCATGTTGTGTTCCCCGCCTTTAAAGCTATAAGGATTTTGGAGACGAAATCGAAGTGAGAATAATGACCATCGTATTGTCTCTTCACTCGATTAAGCGTATGACAAATGAACTCCACAATAAACGAACATAGGAGACAAACGCTTAATATCAACGGACGACATACCGCGACGGAAGCAAACGCCGCGTCAAACTCTCCGCAACAGGCTTTTGCGGACTTGCGCCACACCATGATTTCAAACAAGCTAAGAATGAGCGTACCCGCAATGGAAATACATACTCAGACACCACGGAGGCGTGGTCGGACAGCTCAGTGCCCGTGTGCTGACATGGCCGGGCACCATAGACGAAGCTGCGTGAACCCTGCTAATCACCGCCACCTGATGCGGGACTGGACCCTGCATATCGTTGGTCAAGACGCTCAGTGGTCCGCTGGAATGCTGAAGAACTGGCCGCCCGCGGTCAAGTCTGCCGCTTGTTTAAGCGCGGGGACTGGTGGCTGATCGCTCGCCGTCGTCTCGCGAGCTCGAGCAGGACCTCGACGCCCGCTGCCGACTCCACAGCCCGGGCCGCATTCCACCCAGCTTGCGACGGGCCGTCCCCGCCGTCACCAGGCAGCAGGAATAGACGAATGTCGACTTCGGAATGCCCTCGCGGAGCTAAGAAGCCGTTCCCCAACGCTCCCCGGAGCGGCAAGGAACGGCTACTCAGCTACGGGCTTACGAGATTGCGAGACTCGAGCAAAACAGCGCAATCGTTGTGCCGGAAAGCACCGTCGCCAGAACGCGCCCCCGCCGGTTTTCTCCGCCCCTGCGCCCCGAAGTGGCGCAGACAGGTCCCCCGCAGGTCCCCCGCCGCCGCCCAGCCGGGGACCCACGCGGACGAGCTCGGACTCAGCCCACCCCACCCACTCGACCATCGATATCACATTCCTGCGGCTGGCGCGCCGCCCGCGCCGACCAGCCACGAGCCGGCCGGCGAGTCGTCTCCCAGAGCCGCCGGCTGAGCATCACACGCCCACATCCGCCCCGCCGGCCACCTCGTCGCCCATGGTCACGCCCCAGTCCCGCTTCAGGTAGTCGGTGAACATCTTGCGCGCCTGATCGAGCGTGCGCGTCACGTCGTGCTTGCGCACCATCTTGTCGAACAGCATGGCCACCTCCTGGTAGTCGAGGCGGCGGCTCAGGATGATGTCGCGGTGCTGCTGCAGAAGGCTCAGGCAGAGGAAGATGAGGAAGGGGTTGCCGCCGCCTAACTCCTGCGGCGGCGGCAGGAGGGCGCGCGGCGCCGGCTCCGTTGAGTAGCCCACCGACGAGAGGGCGGCCTCGTCAGGCGCTTCGCCCGCCGCCGGCGCCGTGCCCACCTCAGCGTCCTCCTCCAGGATCGGGTTCTCGAAAATGTCGACGGCGTCGGCGGCGGCGTGCTCGATGAAGCAGCTGGTGGAGCGTTCGAGCCGCTCGCGCTCGCGCCGCATCTCGGTCGCCGCCGGGCACTCGATTGAGCCGAAGTCAGACTCGTCCGACGGCGTGGCGGGCGTGGCGGGCGTGGCGGGTGAAGCGGCGGGCGAGGCGTCGGGCGCGGGAGGCGCGGCGGGCGCGGCGGCCGGCCCGCTCTCGCCGCTGGGCTCCAGCTCCAGCGTGAGCCCCGCGGCGGCCGGCTGGCGCGTCAGTCGCCGGAACTCGGCCAGGTCGCGGATCAGCCGGCCCCCGGGCGGGCTCACCAGCTCCGGGTCCGACTGCAGGCGCCGCTCGCGCAGCAGCCGCTCCTTGCGCGCCTGTCGTTCCTCCTCGCTGTGGGTGCGGCCGGCGGCCGCCGCCACCGCTGCGCCCGGCCGCCGCCCCGCCCCGGCCGCGATGCCGTCCAGGCTGTGCACGCGCTTGGAGGCGGCCATACCGGTGACGGCGGCCTCGCTGGAAGAGAACTCCTTCTTGAGCAGCGGACTGTTGCCGAGGCTGACGGTGCCCGAGCTTTGCCGGCGAATGGCGCACACCTTGCTGTAGGCGGTGGTGGGACGGCGCCGCAGCGCCCCCGGCTGCGGCCGCGCCGCCGGGGCCGGCGCGGCGGCCGGCTCCGGCGGCGGCGTCCCCGTGTACCGCCGCTCGAACAGCTGCAGACCCTCGGCCGGACAGTCCGGTGGCAGCGAGGACCACAACACCTCCAGCATCCGTAAGGCATGGTCGAAGGCGAACTCCCGCTTCAGCTCCAGCAGCAGCCAGCGGTAGCAGAAGAGCAAGTCGTCGGCCTGCCGGGGGGGGGGGGGGGAGGGGCGGCACGTGAGACGGTCCTGGCGCGGAGCGCATGCGGGGTCCCCGGGTCAGACGCCGGCGCGCAACAAACGGTAGAGCCGTGGCCAGGGAGCACGGCCGACTATGCCACGCCGGTCCGTGACGGAGTGAGGTCAGCTGAGTGAATCAGACTTCACGATCTCAAGGCTATTTCGAAAACAGGTCGGGCGGGGAAGGGCAGAAAGGACGCAACGCTTGAGTAATTGAAGAACAGTAGGCACGGATATAATGGCTTCACGCCAGGCCGTCAGTCGACACGAGACGAAAGTCATCAGACCAGATCCACCCAACGCGTCGCGGGACGTCCCATAGCTGCAAGGGCCAACGACATTCAGACGGTTGGGGTCTGGGTCTGGGCCAGCCCACAGAGCACGGATGGTCCTGGCCGTTAGCGGCCCGCCGCACCGCCTCGGCCCGGCTCGCCGCGCTCACCTGCCTGTCCTTCAAGTACTCGAAGAACTCGGGGTCGTAGAACTGCAGCGCCTCCGTCAGATGCTGAAAACGCACCGTCATCGCCAGCCCATCCATGTCGAAGTTGGGCCTGTCGGCGGCCGGGGCCGGGCGTGAGCGCCGGCGATCCCGCTGAACCCCGGCCACGGCAGCCCGACACGCCGCGTACGAACCAACCTCTCTTTCGCGCCTGGCGTGACGCGCAGAATAACTGCGTGGCCCGGCTGAGCCACCGGAACCGAGATTCGTGATGCACTTTGGGCGTAAGCCCAGAGTTTCGGACATACAGGTGCTTTGTTGCTGATTCAGTCACGTTGATGGCTTTGGTGATTTGTGCTCCACAGTGGGGGAGCCGAGATAAACAAGGGAGGGGGTGCGGGGCACCCACGGCCGCTCATCAGGTACAGGCCTACAATCACGGCTGGTCACAACTGCAGCATTAGCACCAGCCTCCCAGCACACACATTATCATAGTGCCGACACACTGGCCAACCTCACAGGCACTCACGCACGAATACAACATGCTCTTCAGTAGTTCTACTGCACCGATCTTGCACTCAACCCCAGCTCCCGCACCCAACTATTCCTGACACACGCACACGCATACGCACACGTACACGTACACGCACACGCACAGCGATCCCTGTTCCACCACACGCATCGCCACAGCCCTCATGACGCAGCCCGTGACCGGCGCCGCCGCACCAGACACCGCCGCCGCCGGGCCAGGCCCAGGGCGGCGACGCACTCACTTGAGCCGGCGCATGAGGCCGCAGAAGCCGACGTACGCCTGCGCCTCGTTCTGCAGCACGTACAGCACTGGCGACACCAGGTCGCTCATGCCCTGGCAGTAGCCAACGGACGGGTGGTTGAGCGCGTACCTGTGCCGCGGACGCACGACGCGTAAGGTTGGCACGCGCCGCCCGACCGTCTGCTGCGTGGCACGGCCGTATAGTCCGCTCCAGCGGCGCTATGATCCGGACTGGTCATCGGTCGAGTACGTGACCAGACTGCTGCTACGGGTGAGTCAAGTTACAAAGGTTCCCAAACTCGACCGGATTCCTGCGACATCGCTCAATGTTCAGCGTTAACGTCCTGGCTAAGGGGAGGGGGGGGGGGTCATGGCTCGACGGCGCCACCGCCCTGGGCTACGTTCCTGGACCACTCCGATCTCCAAAAGCAACTCCGGTCTCCAACAGAAATGTTATGGTTTAGCTAAATGCCCCTAGCCCGGTGGCCAACGGCGAGACGCCGCACATGTCCGGACATGCGTCTCGCGTGGCTGCCGTACAGGTCCGCCGAAGTCCGCGCGCGTCTCTCACGTGGTCAGGATGTTGAAGAGCGCGACGACGTTGATGTTGTCATCCCCACCGGCAAAGAAGGGAAGGTGGCGGTCTGTGCGCAGCACGTCCTTCTTCACCATGTTGGTGCTCTGCTGGATCTCCTCCGTGATCTGAGATCAGGTGAGATCAGGTCACGTCAGGTCAGATCAGGCCAAATGAGATCACATGGGATGACGTGACGTTGCAACCACCGTATGGCGGGCGCCTCGACCTGAGCATCGGTCATGACCGGCGCCACTCAGGTGACACATCGGTTATGACCGGCGCCACTTCGGTGACACATCGGTGATGACCGGCGCCACTCAGGTGACACATCGGTTATGACCGGCGCCACTTCGGTGACACATCGGTGATGACCGGCGCCACTCAGGTGACACATCGGTTATGACCGGCGCCACTCAGGTGACACATCGGTCATGACCGGCGCCACTCAGGTGACACATCGGTTATGACCGGCGCCACTTCGGTGACACATCGGTGATGACCGGCGCCACTCAGGTGACACATCGGTTATGACCGGCGCCACTCAGGTGACACATCGGTTATGACCGGCGCCACTCAGGTGACACATCGGTTACGACCGGCGCCACTCAGGTGACACATCGGTTATGACTGGCGCCACTCAGGTGACACATCGGTCATGACCGGCGCCACTCAGGTGACACATCGGTTATGACCGGCGCCACTCAGGTGACACATCGGTTATGACCGGCGCCACTCAGGTGACACATCGGTTATGACCGGCGCCACTCAGGTGACACATCGGTTATGACCGGCGCCACTCAGGTGACACATCGGTTACGACCGCGCCACTAAGGTGACACATCGGTGATGACCGGCGCCACCTCAGGTGACCACATCGGTTACGACCGCGCCACTCAGGTGACACACTCGGTGATGACCGGCGCCACTCAGGTGACGCATCTGCAGCCGGAAATGCATTTGCCTGGCAATACTGTTTCCAACCGCAAGGCGTCTGACTTTCGCAAGGGCAAGGATGAGATAAGACGGCAAGACGGCAAGGGTGGGATAGCCAAAGCAAGATCGGGTGGGGAAAAGCAAGAGAGCGAGAGCGAGAGCGAGAGCGAGAGCGGGAGCGTGAGGCGGGAGCGGGAGCGGGAGCGGGGAGCGGGGAAGGGCGGGAGCGGGAGCGGGGCGGGAGCGGGAGCGGGAGCTGGGAGCGGGAGCGGGAGCGGGAGCGGAGCGGGAGCGGGAGCGGGGAGCGGGAGCGGGAGCGGGAGCGGAGCGGGAGCCGTGAGGCGGGAGCGGGAGCGGGAGCGGGAGCGGGAGCGGGAGCGGGAGCGGGAGCGGGAGCGGGCGGGAGCGGAGCGGGAGCGGGAGCGGGAGCGGGAGCGGGAGCGGGAGCGGGAGCGGGAGCGGGAGCGGGAGCGGGAGCGGGAGCGGAGCGGGAGCGGAGCGGGAGCGGGAGCGGAGCGGGAGCGGGAGCGGGAGCGGAGCGGGAGCGGGAGCGGGAGCGGGAGCGGGAGCGGGAGCGGGAGCGGGAGCGGGAGCGGGAGCGGGAGCGGGAGCGGGAGCGGGAGCGGGAGCGGGAGCGGGAGAGAGAGAGAGAGAGAGAGAGAGAGAGAGAGAGAGAGAGAGAGAGAGAGAGAGAGAGAGAGAGAGAGAGAGAGAGAGAGAGAGAGAGAGAGAGAGAGAGAGAGAGAGAGAGAGAGAGAGAGAGAGAGAGAGAGAGAGAGAGAGAGAGAGCGAGAGAGAGAGAGAGAGAGAGAGAGAGAGATGCCCACCTTGCCCTCCTGCACCATCTTCATCCAGCAGTCGCGCAGCTCCCTGTATTCGGTGGACTTCTGCTTCACGTACTCGATCCTCTCCCGGGCCGTCATGCCCTCCGGGTAGATGTTCAGCAGGTGCTTCCACACCACCTTCCTGAGATAATGATAAGTCACTTGTCGATGCACGCAAACGTACAAAGACAGATTGAATTTGGCGTCTCAGATTCCCACGCTGGATGATACCTTGCGAGCCTGTGAAATGCTCGACACAACCGCGAACCAGGGACAGCCATTGTTACCTGGAGACCAGTAACCGCGACCGCCATATTATCAGTAGCCCCATCTTCCTTGCTGATACGGCCAGCGTGGACGGCCGAGCAATACTACAGAAGCCAAACGGCAGCTGATGAGTTCTGAACATCCCACCCCGAACACGAAAGCCGTACGTGAAAAACTGATTCACTCACGCACGCGTCGGAAGCGCTCGCCGCACCGCAGTCACCCAGCGGCGACTCACCGCAGCGTGGGTACCACGCCGCCCCGGTAGATGGCGACGCGGAGCTCCTTGGGCTGCACCAGCCGGCCGACCGTATCCAGGTAGTTGTGGAACTCTGTGTCGGTGAGCGGCGGCGCGGCGGCCGGCGCGCTCGCCCTCTCGTCGCCCATGTTGAGCGCGCGAGACATCAAACTGAACGTGTTCTGCACCTGGCGACGGCAGACGACGGTCAAAGGAAACTCACGGACGCACGGCCGGGCACGCGTGCGGCGGATTATGATCACCGGACGCCTTTGCGTTGGAGGAAGAGGCGAACTTTAGTGCGGGCCTCTTAAAGCATATGATGATAGAGGTGCAAAATGACAACACTTGACACTTCTTGCTTGAGTCACATTCCGTGCGGTTCACACGACACTGAGCCCCGGCGTTGCTGCGCTAATCCTGGTTTGAAACAGCCAACACACTCGGTGAGCCACGGTACCGAGCCCATCTCATGTTCGCCGCCTGCACGCCTGACTTGCCACCTGCGACCCTGCGGCTGCGGCCCCAGGCGTTTTCACGCATCGCAAAGCACGGCGCTAATATCTGTACGCCTGGGTGAACTCCTCTGCCTCCCACAATTGATCGCGCACACCCCTGCGGCCTTCGAAGCCGGCCAAGTGCGGCGGCTGACAGCCGCGCACCCCGCACCTGGTTGAGCACGTTGCCGAGTCCGAGCAGCCGGCCGGGCGCCGGCAGGGGGCGCAGCTCGGCCGAAGGCTTGCGCAGCTGGGTCAGGTCGAGGCCGGCCTCCGGCTCCCAGCCGCCGCTCACGTCGAACGGACGCACCTCCAGCCGCAGGTTCAGGTACGGGTCGGAGGCGCTGCCGACGGCGCAGCGCGCGGTCACCGTATGCACGCGGCGGTCTGGCGTTCATGGTCGGCCGGAATGCGGCCGGATTAAGTGGCGGCGCCGGTGGGCAGGCGGCGTGTTTCACTGGAGCTTTGTGTGGTTGACATGCTCATGTTGTTAGCTGCGGTGATCAATGGCAGAATACATTAAACAGAAACTACTTAAATTTATGTAAAAAATAACAGCTTAAACACTTCATAAGAGTACGTAATGCAACACAAATAATGGGCAGTCCTGTTACTCAGCGTCCATACCTGAGAAAGGCCGCATCAAGGTCCCAGTCCGACAGCAAAGCCAGGAATGTTTCTTCTCCAAAGTCATCAATAGCCATGTAGGTTATGGCGAATTCCCTGTTGACAAGCGTCAATAAACAGTCATGTAAAATACAACCAGAAACATAAGGCCGCAAATAATTATCCCCTAAAGTGATCAACCAAGCCCAATGAATTCCTAGCTTTTTGTAACGTGACTACAATACGGACCATGAGAGAAGACTTGCAAAAAACAGATTTGCCGCTCAACGAATTCTAGCTGCACGTCCCTAGAACACACCACCGTCACGTGTTGGTCCTGAGACACCGCGCCAAGTTACCCTTTCAGTTCGAATGCTCTGGAGAGGAGGCATCTGAGAATGCTGTATGTGGTGATCTGCGGGTCGACGCTGAACTTGCGGTACTCCGGCTCCTGGTCATCCTCATATTTCTGCAAACAAGCAATCAGCAGGGCTAAAACGGAGACATCGCATAACATTATACTGGATATGATAAATAAAAAATCAACTAGCTACAATGTATGTTCAGCGAGCTTTTGTGACAGAGGTAAATGTTGGATTAAACATGTAGCCACCGCCCCTTCCTCTGCATGGCAGGCAGCAAACAGACTTACGTGGTCATTTGAGCTATTCTTTTGAGCATAGCTGACTTTCAATAATACCAGGAGACACTGGTTAACCAAAAGTATGAATAAATCATTCCGATCGATTACAAGAAAGCTCGTCGTTTCAAGGCGGCGGTCATGGTCAGGCAACCACGCGCCAACGCCCGGCGTTGCAGCCCCCATCCGCTGCGCGGCGTCGGCCTCGCAACCACACACGGCAGCAGTCGACGGCCAGGCGGCAATGACCACCCATCGGAAACAAGTACTTCCAACGCGTTGTGACATCAATCGAAATACGCGTTAAAGATATCCTGGGCGGTTTCACCAGTGTGATTTGCAGACTGATGCTTGGGACGGAATACCACGCGCAGCGCCGCGAACTCGCGAACTCGCCATTACGCAATGTAATGACATAATCGCTCTTGCTCGTGCTGCCTCAACCGCTAATTCCGTTCCGGAAATATTAACTCCAAATTTCCACAGGTCAAATGTTTTGGCTAGGGGCTAAAGAGCATACAGACCCATCCAGGGGTCCTTCCAGCTGCCATTCAGGCGATACAGGGACGGTAGCCCACTGGTCAGTATGGAGACCCTCAGAGGGATACATAATACACTGGTCCCCCTCCCTGATGCGGCAGGCCCCCTGGCCAGAACATCTGGAAACGGATCGACACAGGATTCTTCACTGCTGCAAAAGTGTCCCTTATTGACGAAGGGAGTTCAATTACTGTTACCGAGACAGCAACTGTTCTGAATGTGACAGGTGAGTTACACCAAAATATTGTTGTTTTTCTATTGTTACACAATATCTTCTGAAAAATGGAACATGGAATAATATGGTCAGCAGGATGACAAATGAAACTATCATAAATTTCATATGTGGTTACTTGGAGCATACCCAAGACATCAATTAGTGACAAAATATGCATTAATTTGTTTGCAGCTAGGTCTTAAAAACAAAGTTGTGATTATTGTACGGAAATGAAAGAATAACAAAAAGCCTTGATCAATGAACTAAAGAGAAGATAAAATAAACACTGAAGCAAGTTTTCTTGTATTCTCCTAGAAGCATCAATGGGTTTCAACATTCATTGCACTGTATGAACATAGTTAAAAATAATAAAGTTAATCAGATATAACTATCAAAGAATAAGGACAGGCAAATACACTCTACAACATGGAGGGCAGTTGTGCATCAGGCTTCTACACTCTCCAAAATATAGGGTGGCTAGAGACTTGGTCAAACACCCTCCAAAACCAAGGCTGGGTACAGTGGCCATCAACAACCTCCAAAAATAATAGCTACTGATGCAAAGTTCTTGCCAAGTTTCCAACATGGCCTTCAGTGATCAATGGAGTGCTGTGTGTGATGCCCCACCCACCCAGCGATGCCCATGCAGCATGTTTGGAGTTTAGGGCACATAGACTGCAAATGCTCACATTAGCTTTATGACACTACAGCACCAATATGGGCTGGCATTGGCAGCATACATGGAAATATTGTCTTTTCCTAGTTGATTGATGCATCTGTAAGCAGCACCCTTACCATGTCAGGGTGATTAATCATGCATCAATGTATCATCTGTTTCAAACTGAACCAATTCCGAGTAAAAGGATGAGAAGTGAGCACTGGTCATGTCCAATAAGCACTACTTTGTGGGCATCACTTGATATTCTTGTTATATGCTGAAGGTGGGCAAGTGCAGTCACCAGGTGTAGTGGTCAGAGATGCAGCCCTGGAGGAGGGGTGGGGAGGCAGGAAGCTGATAGGCCTGCATTGATGGCTTTAACAGCACAGACAGCTCATTTGGTAATGTTATGATCAGTGCTCCCTGAGCTCTGCCCCCCCCTTCACACATACGGAGTAACCTATCTGTGTGTAGATGTTGTTTGGGCATTACGGCACTGACTCAGCTTCTAACTTCCTCTGCAGTTGGCAAAGCAGTTTGAGTACCAGACAGAAATGGCCATAGAAGTCACCTGTCACAATGTGATCACCTCAGTCATCACCTAAGAACAGCTCATTAAAACTCAGCAAAATGGTCCAGATTATGTGTCTAAATGCTAAATGTAACAATGGTATGAGTCTTGGTAACTGACTGTCAACTCTTTAACCCTTTGTTAATTGGTGAATTTTGCATTGAACATACTAATTGCCAGATGGTACACAATGTTTTTGCCAAAGCTGAATATGCAGGGCTTGACCTGAAAACCTAGTTCCTCACAGTCTAGCTTGAAACATGAAACCTCCTCAGAACATGTGCCTCTTACCAGCACATGAGCCAGCTAAGCAGGTCATCATTATGTAGATCATGCCAGTGGCCAAGGGGTAAAGGCATTCACTGCCAGTGCTGCTGATCTGGAGAGCTCAGGGTGCATGCCATGCAGGTAAATTTGGGCAAAATCATCAGATTTTGGCCTTTACAAGAGAAATGGCAAAGATGTGGACAACAGATAAAAAAATGAAGTGATGTCTCAGGTGGGGCCAAAGTCATACAAACAGTTCAGTGGAGCTGAATGATGGTCCTTGAAATCCCAATATCAAATCAAGCACAGCATATCAATTATGGGGTCCAACAGTCCTATGATATGATAAGCCATCTCCACACCCACTTCAAATCTTTCTATGACTACCTGGTGATCTGACCTTGTCTGTTCTGTAAACTGGCCTGCTGGCATAGGTGGTGTTTGAGCTGAGATTTTGTGGGGATTTTTATATGTTCACACTTGCTAACCCCAGGACTGTAAGTGTGTGTAATGCTGGGAACAATAACATACCCAACATTTTAGGATGGTGCAAACCTGGTGTACATACACCTTCCTTTTTGGCCAGATCTGTGCCTGATGCACACCCACCATATGTATTTGTGTCCATCCACTTTGTAAGAATTAATTATTGAAAACAACAGCATGTATATGTCATTAAGTAATGAATGGTTAAGCTGGTCAAAAAGGTAAAATTGCATTCAGTTAATAGTGTTGATAATTTCCAATCCTGCTAAATGTTGCCAGGATGTGGTGATTATATACAATGACAACATGTGTTGGGTATTCCACATCATGTCTCTCTCTAGGCACATACAAAGTGCAATCATTTTCAAGGAAGAACATGTCAAATTGGGTCATTTCAATGTTTAATACCTGCAAATGATGGTTCCCTCATTTGCCAGTTTTATCATAGACATTTTTTTAAATGAAAGGAGCTCCTATCATATGAGCAGTACATTTTGTCTCATATCACAATCACAATAATTAGACATCATAATTCAACTGACCTGGAACAGCTGCACCCTCCACAAAGGAAAAAACGATGCATAAATACCTGTAAATCACTTCTTACCAAGACCGTGCTGAAATTGCACCAGTGCTGCAGTTACATTCCAACATCTAGTATCCCTCACAATTATTTTTCACAGAGGGCCACATGCTTTATATGTAGCTGGGAGAGTAAGCTTACCTTGACTTTAATTCGCACAGCCTCTCTGTTCGGGTAGCCTAAAGTGGAAATCGTTCTTGAGCCGTCCCTTGACATCTTGTATTCGACTCAAGCCTCAATGAAACAGTCCTATTCTATACCCCATCGCGGCACACTGCCATTCTACCCCGTCTCTTTCAACTGTCAGCTCAATATGTTGCCCCATGATTCCAATGCCCATCCAAGCTTTACCCCATCACTCCCCGCCGCTTGGAAACGGAGAATGCATTCGGCCTTGATATCCCCACAGACTATCATTGACTTGGGATGTTTTCGCACATATTTAAATATTGACTTGTTTGAGCATGAACGACTGAAAATACACCACAGGCGTGGTGTATGCAATTTAAAGCTACTGCTTCCCGCACTACGGGTTTACGCGCAGGCACAAATTTGCCAGCAAGCCCGATCAGTCGAATAGATCCGTAAAATCATCGCCGGCTCTCAAATTGGGAAATGATCAAGCACAGCGGCGTCGTTCCGTGTAATGAGTTGAGAGGAGGGGCTGAACAGCGAAAAATGACTTAACCCATATATCAATGAACCAATATATATATATATATATATATATATATATATATATATATATATATATATATATATATATATATATATATATATATATATATATATATATATATAGGTGTATATATATATACATATAGGTATATATATAGGTGTATATATACATATAGGTATATATATATATATATATATATATATATATATATATATATATATATATATATACTCCTCGATTTGGGCCCCCGCCTTCTCGAAGTTGTGAAGGCTGGAACCCAAGGGGAAGGGGGAGGGGTGCCAAGCACCGCCCTCCTCGACTGAATAGGAAACTAACGTTCGCCAAGAGGGGGAGGGGGGGGGGGCACGAAAAATCATGGGTCCTCGGTGGAGTTTGGGGCCCTCCCCAAAAATTATTGCATTCCGGCCATTCAATCTTCAGATTTTTAGGAAGGATATTTGGTATGAGGGAACCCAAAATCCTATGTACATAAAAAGAAAACTTGACATGCTGCGTATGTGCATATGTACAGGAGAGCGTTCATTTTCTCCAGTTAGTCGGGGCATCCTGTCATTTATAAGGCTAGAATTTTGGAGAAGACATGGCCAAATGTGCTTATAGGCTGAGTGCTAAATGCCATCAAAATCACACACAGCACCTGATTCCAAGGAAATTTGCGGCCAGCCGGCTGGACGATGTGATCAGCTGATGGCTGATGACTAATCCAGAGTTTTTGCTTGGATTGTTATGAAGGAATACAGAACATCGCGGCATTCAAAATGTGTTAAATTGATGCACAATTATAACAAATGTAACAACTTCAATGACCAACGGAAATGACATGAACGACGTCGGCGGCGCGTAAAATTATCTTCGCCAAATCCACGTAAAAATTCTTTGGCGCATATTCCACTGTCGCTCTAAGGCTGAGGCCCCAACGGAGATCGTCACCGCGTGAACCTCGGACATGTGTACATGAAGTGATATAGCCAGGCCCGCACACCAGAGCAGACGCAACGTCCTGGCGCCCGCAAGCACATGTGGGGCTTTCGGTAACGGAGTAAGATCCCTCTGACTTCATCGGAAGAGCCCACGACCAATGTGGAGGGCCCTACAGCGATCAAGAGTGTCTCAGCCGGTCAACCCATTTGACGGATTATCACACCACCTAACCTTCGTAACCACCAATGAATCATGACACGTCATGTTCGAAACACCTAATGCATCGCAACTACTAATGTATCATGATCTCCAATGTGTCGCAGACCCTAAAGTATCATAACACCTAAAGTTCGTAAATCCCAACGTATTGCAAAGCCTAATCTCCATAATCTCTAATATACCACACTCCTTAGATGTTACCTGATGTTTTGTAAAACCTAGTGCATCAAATTAGAAAGACCCCGACAGGAGTGAAAGGTCCTACGCAAATGAATTCAAAGGGAAAGTGCCCTGGATCAATGTAGAGGGCCCCTGAGCATCGAGTGCTTCGGTGTGTTAATTTAAATGGGTCCCAGCAACAGCGCACGATCTTGCGACCAAATGAAAAGAACCCGAAACAAGTGTAAAGCTTCCCAGAGCAACAGAGAATACCTGGTCATTCCCTCAAAGGGAATGAGGATATGAACGGAATCATCAAATGTGATGAAATGGGCTCACTTGTAGCTATTTATATTCTAAGGGCAAAAGACCACCCTAGACAACGCAGTTTCTCTATTCATAACTATGCTCCTGAGTACGCTATCGTTTCATAGCGGCCTGGAACGGTCGTAGGATGACAGAGGAGTGACTGCCAAACTGTGTGTGCGATATTACCTGATGTGGACGGACCGGAACGATCGCGTATGCCCGGTTAAAAGATGGGCGCCCGAGATGGGGTCCTCGGCTTTGAGTCGGTATAGTCCTGAGGACCCACTTCCCAAGCAGCGGCAAGGCCGGGCAGACGATTTACACTGGCCGGGGCTTCTGTATCAATCAGGGGTCGACAGCGCCCAACAAGGGGCCAAATATTGGCAAGGGGTACTGTGTTACTAAGGGGTCCCGAGTCAACCAAGGGCAATCCTCGATGAGACCCGAAGAGGGGCCCGGGTGCTCACCGGAACCAACGATCAAGGGCCTGATTTGAGGCTATAAGGGCCCGAAGGGCTGGATGTAGGTCACATAAACGACCCCTGCCCCCGTAGGGCCGTGACCTGAAATATCAGGCAAAAGGCATCTTGCGCCGATTGACGGCCCCTAAGATAATGCGGGCGTCCGTGTCGGCCAGGGACCACTAACGCCAAACAGTTGACTCCGTGTCGGCCTGAACCCAGGGGGCTCGTTTCCCAAGTAGAAGCCGGGCCGAGGCCCATGATTCACATTGTTGTGGCTCTGAAACAATGATCAAGGCCCTGTGTCGGTCAGGGGCTCACAGTGCCCTTGGAGTCATCCGTCAGAAACAGGAGTCATCCGTCGGCAAACGGTCTGTGAATCGGTACGTCTTTTCGGCAAGCCTTGTAATAGCCAAACAAATAATTGGCAAAGAAGTGCAAAGAGGTGCCGAAACAATGTACATAATGTAACTGAACAAGCAATTCGTACCCACAGTTTAGTGCACATCTTGCCACAAGTCAATATTTGCCACAAACAGATTCAGGCGTCCCAAACGAGAAACTTAAATGATCCTTAAAATGACCATGATGCAATGAGAAGCAGGTCCAGTAGAAATAAATGAACTAAGATGACAAGGTATGTCTTAGTTTACGATTTGTTCAAACCCCTAAATTAGAGAGATAAAGAAATTGTTTACGAAATAACGACTTCCCATTTCACGCACATGTGAAACTGCAGCTTTATAATGCTAGAATCGGATGTAATTCATAGAACATCTGGGCTTCACGGTCTGATATAGTCACTGGAAATAGGTCGCCTTTGTCGTTCATGGAGGGTGGTCCGAGACTCAAAAGGATAGTTTTGGATAAATTGGCATGGCCTGGTACGAACAGATCAGAGAGACGTGTACACTTGATATGTCTTAAGGGGTGGCGGCAACCGAAAAAATCTAGCGCAAGCACTTGCAGAAAGCACCTGCACCTAAAAGTGTAATCAAACTGACAATACTCACGAGCAATGTCGATGGATAGTGGAACAAAGTAGATAAAGGTCGGTGACCGGCCGAGTCAGCTGAGTTTTTGGACAGCCACCAGCGGGCCATGTGCCCCGATGCGCACCGCGCCGACTCTTGCAGGGGTTTAGTTTTCTGTTCAGTTGGGGCACCTAAAGCCACTCACACTTTGAAAAGGGAGTGGGCCCAACCATGAATGAAACCTGTTTTGGGGGGCACTTTGGGGGTAGGTTTCGCTGTTTTTCCTTACTTCCCCCCTCCCCTAAGTCTTTTGCGAACTATGTGCCCCTGAGCAATTGAACATGCTCCGCATTGAGGAGAGGCCATCCAGCGTCTGCTGCATTACTGAGAGATCGAAGCACTTCGCTCCATGTCATACCAAGGTAGCACGCGCCAGGACCGGTCTGTGATAGGACGCGCCTCGGGTTACGGCCCCCAGTCACCCACCCCGAGGCGACCGGCCCTCGCTCAGCCGACGGGTCGGATAGAATGTCCGCCACACAACTACAATTACGAAGGCGGCCAGCCGCGCGGCCCACGCGTGAAGCGATGCGAAACGCGTGACCGCGGCTTGTGTGTGGCATTGCAATGCCCACGTGTGCGCCACGCGTCCATCCCACGTGTGTCCTGAATACCCGGAAGGCAATGTTTCCGTCACCGTCTTCCAGGGACACGTGCACAGGGTGTACGCGTCAGTGATCTGAGAGTGGGCACGTGTGGACCAGTATATGTTGTGAGTCTACCCATTGCAATACAACCAGTGTCCGCTCATCAGCTTTTGGCGCAATATCCTCCAATATACCCGACCACATCACTCAGCAACTCACTAGATGAATGCCTGTACGTCAAATTTCGCACTTGAGCTCCCGACTTGGTATGTACACTGCGGCCGACATATACAGCTGCGCTGAGGGCACGTGCTCACTCCCTGCCAAGGGGTGTGGTGCCTACACGTGGCTAAAAGTTGAAGGAAATCTTTATCCAGGGAGACTAGTGGAAATAGGAAAATCGTGAGCATACTGACTCGATGCTGCTCTACATTACACAATATCTGGTGTGTCTACGGCGAGCTCGACTCAGTTTTCACTCCTTTTTGTTGGTTCTCTCATTGTGCAATTCTGCACACACCCTTGTATATAAACAGGCAATGTGGTACCGAGGGTGCAGTTACCTATTCAGTTGGGGACGCTTTAGTCCCTCCCCCCCCCCCCCCCGCCAACTTGAGTTCCAGCCCTCTCCCCAAACTGTGAGAGAGAGTTAGGAGGGTGAAATCAATGAGCGAAATTGAAGGGGAAAGTCGCTTGTTGACAAATTTTAGGGAAAGGTTTCATCTCTTCGCACGCCTCCCTCCACCCACTCCTCCAACTCACCATGCAAGAATGCGCCCCCGTGTGACATGGATTCAAAGAGGCGACAAAAACGAACATAACAGGCCTTTTAGGCTCCCAAAAGACCTGCAACCAAAGGCAATGAGCCAGGGTGTGGTGTAGAGCTGGTGCAAAGCTCTTGCGCGGATGGCCAGCGCTTTGCGCCAGCCGTTACCACAACATACCAAGATACAGAACAGATACATACCA